TAAATTGAATACAAAAATTAAGAGATCAATAAATATATCAGAATTTAGTGTTATATAATTATTTAAATTAAATCATGCATAATCCACTATTGTTATTAACATTAGAAATTTTATAAACGTTAAACATAACAAAAATAAAATCATTAATAAATTATAATATACAATCATTACCTAATCACAACTTAGCTTAAAGAAAAATAATATAATTTTACTGTGAATTACAATTATTTGAGGAATATAAATGTAATAAATCAGGTTTAAATTTCCAAAGATTATCTGAAAATATGTCAATATCAACTTTTCTGTCTTTATATTTATTATCAGTAGTCATTATGGCACTAATACAATTCTTATGTGATAATTTATATATAGCATTAAAACTCAACATCAATCTATTAATCGGAGAATAGCGCGCTTGACGAGAACGTGTGCTCTTTTCTACGAATGGTATAAAAGACGACGGCCTTTTTGACTTCAATGAGGTACGAACGGTTAATTTGGCTAGGCTAGTAAGTAAGAACTATCAATGACGCCATTCACCAACTTATACAAGAAAATAAGGTCAAGGAGCTGTCTTCGATTCGAAAGTGGCTGAAACTTTAAGTAATTTAGCTTATCTTCGTAAGTTCTAAGAGTTTTAACTAGGTTATGATCGTAAGATAAATGCAAAAGAAATCTCTTTTGTACCCTTTCAATTCTATGTGAGTAAATATTAAAGTGGGGATTCCATACTACGCTGCAGTATTCGAAGATATTTCGTACCAAGTTACTGTGTATATTGTTGTCTGTAGGAATTATATGTCTTTTTGTATTCTGTTATTTTGTTCTATGACGTTGTATCTGATCAAAATATGGACACAAATAACGATTACATTAAAATTGATTACTTCCTGCATTTCGTCACATTTTATTTTGTCTGAATAAAAAGCAAGGACAACGTATCCGTACATTCTGGTTTTACCCGCATGATGCATTTTTAAATACTGCCCTCATTAAAGTTTTTCTTAATAGCCCAACTGGTTTTAAAAAATTGTTTTTTTATTTGCTTGCTATTATTACACATATATGGAAAAAGGAATGCCTTGTTGGTCTAATGGTGTAAATGCGCCTGCTGATCATGAGGTCCCAATTTCAAATCCCAGGTCAAGCTGAAAACCTGTTATATAAAGCAGAGAATACAATATTAACATAACTATAGTAGTCATTCTTGTCCTAATGGTGCCCGAGCATCCCGAGAAATTGAGACAAGTTTTAATATTTTTTTAAAAGGCATCAAGGATAACTAAAGGCAAAAGCATGTGCTCATATGCTCTGCCATTGATTTTTAAAGAAGGACGTTTCATGAGTTGGCACCATTAAAATTAACTTTCTTGCAGAACGAAGATCATCCCCTGAAATCCCTATAAATTAAAATTTCTCTTTTAAGTAATAATAATAAGACACAAGGGACATTTCAAGGGCCACCAGCCGATCAGTGACTGCCAACACAAATAATAAAATGGAATAAAACTAATTAAAAGGATATTTGTAATATTAATTTTATACCATGTTTGGTATTTGCGTAAATTTAAAAAATCATTATGCGGTGATTTGTAGATGGGCGAAGGCAGTAGATTACAAGGGGGGCTGCCTTGGCTTGGCTTGCAGATCTTAACATCAAGATTGTAGAAGAAGGTGTATGCTCAAACAACAAGCCCATAAATCTGATGTCCCATTTACGCTGTTTCTTTTGCATAACGATTATATGCCAAACCAGTAAGATTCTTTACTACGTGAATAGCAGCACTGGTGATCCTTTTTACACCAGCCCTCAAATATTTCTCGGAAAACCCGTCATGGAGTACCAGAACAAACTTATCTAAAGTCAAGTATTTGTTAAACAAAGTTTGGATTGGAATCAACAAAATCTAATATGCTTTTATACTCAGAAGGAAGGAAGACTAAATTGGCCCCTAAAAAGCTTGGCATGCACAGTAGAGCGTGACAATGCAGCCAGAAAGTCACTTGCAACTTTACAAAGCGTAAGTTTGGCCACACATAGACACTGTTCCCATCTCTAAAACCCCAGTGCCATGCCTTCCACTTGACCGCATCCGACGAATAGTCATTGACCGAATTCTTTATGATCAACTCGATTCACTAGCGCTTCGAAAATATATTAGATCCCTTTGCATTTTATATCACATTTACCACGAAAGGTGCTGAGAGGATTTGTTCGAATTAATTACAATCGCCAAATTTCACCATAGCATATCGCGACAAAACTCACGACACCATCCATCTGATGCTTGGCGGTCCACCACTTTGCGATATACTACGAGTTTTCTTCCTCCCACGACTTCTTTGTATAATCGGCTGCCACCAGCGATTTCTCAGGACCAATACAACTTAGGAACATTCAAGTAATGAGCTAAATCCTTTTTAAAAGAACAGCAAAGCATCTGTATTTCCCCTGGTTTTGCATATATTCACGGGTAGCGATAGACACTTACAGGTGAGCTGCATGGTCGTTTGCCTCCTCTTCTATAAAATATATTTTTATTATTACTTTATTTATTGACTTCATAGTTTTAAGGAGATGAGTGTTATGTCTTTTAATTGCTGGGTAAAGTAAATTAAGCTTTATCTATATCTTATACTGTGTTATATAGGATATAAGTTCAGATGTTTAATCTTAACTGTTTTGTATGAAGCCTTATTATTTTTTACAGGTAAATGAACTTACAAATTGACTTGATATGCTCGTCTGTCATCTTCTTAACTTTGCACAATATATTATTTTACTTATATATAACTAGCTGACTGGTGCAGACGTTCTTGTGCCCTTTCCTACACGATGACATTCACTAGAAATTCACTCCATGTATTTTCCAGAGCAAATATAAAATTTATTAATAACTTGACCATAGCGCCGCGCCACTTTTAGGATCCAGAGTTTTTGATTTGACATAATGTTTCTTATAAATACGAGTCATATTAGTCCATTAAAATTATAGAGTATAGCATACCCATTTTTTATTTTTTTATTTTGTGCAAGCAGCTATGCAGGTCGGAATGTTATATAGCTTGAATCACAATAGATCTTACAATCTATTGTAATCGCTGCTATTGTTATAGTTCACTGCTAAACCCTATGGCTTCAATGAATTGAAGGAGTTGCTTAGCTGTGAGCAATTTCACCTTTTCTAGCCTAAGTCCCCTAAAATATTTTATACATTATCAATATTTACTTTCTTGTCATTTTCGATACATACAATTAAAAAATATTTTTTTTAAAATGTTCTCACTTCTGGCCTCGATCTTGCCCGAGGGCAAAAATAAGGTTTATGATTGAGCGAGTTTGTCGATGACGATTTTTAGTCGCGCTTTGCTCTTTGTGGACCTTAAGTAAGATTTGATTAACTTGAATTTTGAAAAACAACAAGAAAAAAAAACAGGCTCCGAAGACATTTATGATCCGAAGTTTTAATATTACTTATTACTGAGTTACTTGAATAAAATAAACCAAGGCCTAGTCGGTCAAATGTGGATGATAGAGAAAAAAAATTGCAAAGGGCAAACTTAAAACTGAAGGTGTGTAGCGTGCATTAACTATTCAAGTTTTCTCGGCCGGTGCGTTTTTATCCCTCAATCTGTTTTGTTGCTTGTGTAATGAAGCAACATTTGGTAATTAAAAGGACAAGAAACAACAGAATCTTTAATAACTATTTGGTTTGTTCCCGTAACATAGCAAATTTTATTATTTCACAGTTCTTTTTTGAAGCAGTGTAAAACTTATATCATTTATTTTCATTTTACTCTGTTGTTTGAGACTTCAAACCACCACTTTTAATCAAGTTTTAACTTTGAGATCAGTTGTCGGTGGTATGATTCAAGTATAAACATTCCATCAGAAATGTTTAACATCGCGATCTAACAAGGATTTAGTATAGTTGATTGCGATATTTACGATGTCTCGTAGGCTACGTAGATAATGCTGGATACTGATGACTACCAGATGGAAGGACTCCTTCTTACACATAGAAGTCCATCTAAGTGGGGACCACCCGTCAGTGGTTATCCAGTCCTTGTCGAGCTGGGGGGTACAAGGTTCAGTTAAGGTTAAAATTATGGGCCCAATGGACACTGAATATTGTTGTCGTTCTTCCCGTCATCTCCTATATAACAGTATTACCATACCATAGTAGCATTTATCAATTAGCCATTTTTTAATTTCATTACAAAATGTATCTCCACTTTCTTGGGATATTGTTATAAACCTGTGTACTACAAATATGACATTCTTTTTTAATTGATTATCAATTTACACAGCAGCAGAGGGTAACAGAAAAAGACATTTCTAACCCATAATTACTGTATTCCTTTTTAAAGTACTGAGGACTTATGAATGAACTTTGAAATCTCAAAATATGAAAGCACATAATATGTAGCATGTTTTTGAAATAACGGTTTATATGTGTACACTATGATTATTTGTTATGTGAAAAAAAAAATGCGTGCCCCGTATTATGGCACCATAATAGAAAACAAATAACATAAACTCATGGTAAGCGATATACATGTATATCTTGATATGTATGTAGCCATTTCCTTAACTAATATACGAAGGCGGCCTAATAGTATTTAAAATATTAGAATGAGACAGGGAAAATCGTACCACTGTTATATAGTAAACAATAACAAAAGTCACTCACTGTTCCCCTTCCATTGTCTCCCTTCATGTTGACGTTGCATCAGACGGTTCTACAATTTTATGGCCAATTTTAAGCAACAGCTATTTCTGTAACTCGTACTTCGTGTACCCCGTAACTATCAGCATCATAGTTACGGGCTTAAAGCATACATCGTAGCATATAATACTTATAATACTTTATTTTCACCATAATTTATTGAACTTTCGAAAGTACAATATTTTAAAATTATTCCGAAGCATTGTATTAAATTAAATCATTTGTGTTTTTTGAAATAATTATTGAACTGTACAATGTGAAGTACAAGATATGAAATTTCAACTTAAATCTCAGAGACCCGTGACATTAAACGAGGTGAGTAAATTGAACTCCATAACGGGTAATGTTGTTCCAATTTGCAACAAAGGCCTTCCGTTTTCCAATTATGACGTATTATTAATATATTAAAACACCTGTAGTGGAGGTAATTGTATTTTAAATACACTTAAGAGTTGTCATATTGCCAACTTTCGGTAATGATACATCACTTTGTCGAGATATTTAAGATACGGAAACGTTGATGGGTGAATTTAAAACAAAAAACGGAATTTAAAGAATTTAAAGCGAACTTACATTACATTCCGTTTGTGTTGTTGAATTGTTATGGCCATTTTAGGAATATGCTCGTAAGACCTATGACATCCAATACGATGACGTGAAGGGTTGTAAATGGTGCAAGATATCCCTTACTGCGATGGCCAGTCCGTCTCCCAAGTGTAGTGAAAACGGCATCTCCTCTCTAAACAAGAGGGATTCAAGTTCAGCCGTGGACTATTTCCACTTTATGTTAACATTTACCGTAATCGAAAATTCGAAACAGAATTACAGAGTGTAGTTTGAAACAGATCGTTCCATGGACGTTATTTTGGATCAGTCGATTTTTCATATGAGTGTTTTACAAATTTTTAATGTGCCGAAGAACCCTTCTACTGAACAAAAATAATTTGAAATCGTGAAAGGATTTGCTGAATATGTCCAACAGAGGTTTCACTTTTTTAAACTCCGAAAATCCGTCTTGAAAAGATTGAATCAAAATATTTAGCTTTTCAACATAACTGAAATTAGTCGCAGTTTTGTTGATTTTTTCAGCCATTTTCTTATAATTCGGAAAATGATTGTAATTTCCAGAATTCAATTTCGATCTGAAAAGTGTCAGCTTGCATTGAAAGGATGATACATGAGCGTAGATCTGGGATATCAGTTGATTTTTGCCTTGAAGCCGTGTGTTGAAGACATTCAAATGATTTGTAATATCAACTAAAAAACCCAAATCACACAACCAATCAGGATTTTTAAGTTCCGGGACATCCCTTTGCTTTTCCGCCAGAAACATTCCAATTTCTTCCATTACATTTAGAAATCGTTCTAGTGTCAATCCACGACTTAGCCACCTTACTTCTGTATAATATAGTAAATCTCCATATTCGCTTTCGATGTCATCAAGGAATTGTTTGAATTGCATGTGATTGAGTCCTCATGATTTTATGAAATTTACAGTTGAAACTACCACTTTCATGACATTTTGAAATTCAATTTTTTTAGAATAGAGGGCTTCTTGGTGTATGATGCAGTGAAACAGCATGAGATCTTCAGCGTTTATGTTTTTTTCTCGCAGATGCTTTTTCAGCAAAGTAACTAGCCCAGAATTGACACCAATCATCGAAGGAGCACCGTCAGTCGCCACTCCCGATAATTTTGATAAGTCCAAATCAGTTTTTAAACACTTATCTAAAAGTACATTGAGTATATCAACTCCTCTGGTTTGACCCTTCAATGAATACATTCCTAATAACTCTTCTAAGACTTCAAAATCTTGAGTAACACCTCGTATGAATATCAGAAGAAGTTGAGCTGTAGAACTAATATCAGTGGATTCGTCGAGTGCTAATGAAAAAAATTTAATGATCTTAGTTTTTTCATTTAATTGTTCCGCAATACTACCTGACAAAGACATAATTCGTCTTTGGATAGTCATACGATTCAGTTGAATTTTCTCAAACTTGCTGCTTCTGGACACATTTTCTTAGCGGCAATTTCTATGCATTCTTTTACAAAATCCCCATCATTGAAGGGGCGACTTCGCTTTGCTATCATTCGAGAAATTTCATAACTAACTTCTGTAGCTGTTTCTGAATCTGAATGGGTTTTACATAGCTTGCTGACCAATAAGCTCCCGTTTTAAAGACAACATTTTTTGCTTTCTTAATTTGCCTGTAAACTTAGTAAAAATAGGATGCTGCGTTTCATAGTGCCTTTTTACATTATATTCCTTTGCAATCGCAACAGAATTTTTGCAAATTAAACAAACGACTTTGTTATGCGACCATACAAAAAAGTATTTCTCAGTCCAAATTTCTCGAAACTGCCGATTTTTATCTTTAACCTTACGTTTTTTACTAGGTCCTGGCTTTTCCATGTTGCGTTCTAATCCTGGCCAGGATTAACACAGCACCTAAAAACAATTTCAGTACCTACTTAAATTACCCATCCTTTTTTAAATTACCAAAAATAATTGATTAAATAGGTAGAGACACACTTATTAATAACAGAGCACTTGAGGGGAAATCTACGTTGAATGTGGATCAAAATATATGACGCCGGCTAGTCGAGTTAAAAGCTACACTAGAACTATTGACACTTCACTCAAATTATAACTGAACTGTCGGTCGCTGCGGTTAGCGTGTATTTTATACCGCGCGTATAGAGTCGAAAACTGTCTGGAGAAATCACGAAACCAACTCTGGAAGCTTCGTGTATCTACCTACGCGAGCAATCGGCAATTCGGGACTATTGCTATCTCGCTTGCTCTAACAATATAACCCGTGGATAAGCCGCCACCGCGCTGCCGTCGTCGCCGCACCGCCGGCCACGGTGGTTCCTCAAGAAAACGAATTTAACCGAGATCAGCACGAACATTACCGACCGCTGTTACCGACGCATGCGCGGCGCACCGATAAGCACACTTGAGAGCGCGCGCGCGAAATTCAAATTACTTTTCGAAGAACATATATTTTTTTTTTTTTATTCTGGAATATAATTCAACATTTTACGAATGTACGAGAGTATTATTTTTGCTGTCGGCGGGCCGGGGCATGCGGCCCCCGGGCCGCGGTCTGCGCATCTACGGATTAGATAGTAAAAGAAAAGAAATCAAATTCGGATATTTATTGTTTTGCAAACCTTGTCTGCGTTGAGATACAATTATTGCCGAAAAAGTTATGTAAATTGGACGACGGGTTACGGAGGAGACAGATTTTAAAGAATCGTTTTCTTGCGCCATGGGAGCTCCGCTCCAATTATATACGAGTAGTTTTTGAGTCATTAACGTCTGCAAATGGCAATTATTATCACTCACTGATTCACTGACCTTATTTCTAGATGACTTAGAAACTTAAAAATTAAGCATTCAGGTATATTATCGGGCGTATACGATATTACAACAAAGTTCCAGAAAACATACAAGGTCTCTATTACCAAGTTTAAATATTTAATTTAACAAAAACTGTATAAAAAGGGTTATTATAACATAAATGAATACATGGTTGATACTAACCCCTGGCATTGAGGTGGTCGCTTCCAAGCTGTTTCTAAATAAATTTTGTAAAGATTTTGTGACCTTTGACATTGTAAAATTTATTTTAAATAAAAAAACCCGCTGGGTTTCTTGCTGGTTCTTCCCAGGACAGAGGTTTTATTCGAACCAATGATAACGTAAAATATAGACTTTTAATAGGAATTACTTGTAAACTAAATTGAATAAAAAATTGTATCTATTCTATTCTATGAAACCAATCAATTTCAAAGAAAAATGAAGAAATAGATATTCTGCTTTTTATCCTGCTGAATTGTTTAATTATAGCCTCATAATATAGCTTGGATTTTATACCTGCCTCGATAGATGAAACTTTTAACGCTGAAAGTCTTTTCTGTGACATTGCATTCCTGAGATAATTTTTAATAAGTTTTAATTTTAAGAAGCTTCCTTCAGTGGAGGCTGTACTGATCGGTATTGTTATATGACGATGTAAATGTTTGGGTATATTTTTTTAAATTATTTTCTGTAACGTATTGGAGAAGCTGTTTTGCACATCTGTTACGAAGTTAGGTAAATTAGGGATTATTAATTGTAAATCTTCATATAATTCGTAAGGTTGAAACTCACTGCTTTCACGCACTCGCAGGGCTGTGTGTAAATCTTGACAGTTACTTTAATATTAGATGGTTTGGAATATTTTTTAACTTGATTAAATCATAAAGGAAACCAAAATTTTCATAATGTTGGTTTAAAGCCATAAATCTCAAATCCACATTTGTTATAATTGAACAAGCATGGTGTTGAAAAAATCTGTTTCATACCGACTTTTAGGAGACTGTATAGGTTAATCCTTGCCTCCATAATCCAACATCTTTTTTATATTTGGCTACTCTTTTATTTTTAAAGTCTTTTGGCAGATCATAACAGTTTTTTCAATAAACTGTTGAGCACCAGACAAGCATTTTTCGAAACACTTTGTCGATATTCTTTAATCCAGTCACAAAATGTACGTAAACGTTCTAGAGCTTTAATTTGTTTTCACCTATATTGACAACGCTACCAAAATAGGTAACAATTTTGCAAGTTCTTAAGAAGCTTTGTGTCTGTTCCGTTTATCTACTCATGTGCGTACAGCGCGAAAATATACCAACAGCAGCCACGTGGGCGCTGTACGCACTCTTTACTCGATTGCCATGCTCCCACATTAAATAAAGTCAATATACTATGTCTGACAAACAGAACGGGGAATCCTCAGCCTTTGTCGCCCCCATAGATTACTGTGTATATACTGGTTGCCCCGCAGCGGGGATTCCCCGGAATAGCAACGCAAACTAATGTTGCTAGACTGAATAAAAACAAATTTAGTTATATCAGTAGTATCGATTCATGAGAATGAAATTTTTTCGGCGCGTATACGGTAATAGTAATGCATAAACCTCCAGGGCGCGAGGCCCCTAGATCGCGAGGCCGTAGGCGGTGGCCCACGTCGCCCACGTCTTACGCCGCCTCTGAGAATAAGTCTCGAGACAACATATCGTAGGCGGTCCCATAATGAATTGGCCTAACTATGAACCAATGAAGGAAATGAAACGAAACCAATTTTATTTTTCAATATAATCACCATGAATACTAACACACTTCTGACATCTGTGAATCAACATCTCTAAACCTTTATAAAAATAATCACATTTTTTATCCTCAAAATGACTGAAGACGGCCGCCTGTAACTCTTCATCGCTTGAAAATTTTCTTCCTTTTAAGTCCCGCTTTAAATTTGGAA